CTGCGCGCCTCTCCGAGGCGCTGCGCAGATGGTCTACGAATCATAGAGGCTCAAGTGACAACACCTGAGGCAAACCCCACTTTGGGACCTATTTGAGGCGGTGTGGCGGCTCTCACAGGGCACGGGAAGCTCTCCCGCCGCGTCTGCGTGGCCCGCCCGAGCCGCGGGGAACGGCGCGCGCCCCTCCCGGCGGAGCTGGGTGCGGCAGACGGGCCCACGGGTCGGTTCCGGGCCGATTTGGGGCCGTTCTGTCTAGTCCTGGGTCAAAATCGAGCTAGACAGTTAAAAATCTCGCCCCCACGGATGGTACTTTTTGATTTTTTGAGCCACGATCGTCGACCGGGCCCGTGAGGCCATGGGAACGCCCTCGGATTGTACAGCACCCTCCACTAGCCACAACCGCGGGCCCTCAACCGCGTATCGGTGTCGCGGCAAAATAGCCTTCAGACGCTGTCTCGTCGTTATAAATCGGCCAATCTGGCCCCTCTGCCACAAGTTTTGCTTTGGGACGCACCGCAGTACGGCGGAGTCGAGATCCGGCGCGCAAACATCAAAAGTACCACGAATCGGGCCCGGCTAGACCTGCCACACCGGAGGCGCGCAAAATGGAGGCGATTTTGTGGTGGTAAAGCGCAAGATGGCCAGAACGGGGCGCCGCGCGCTCGGGAGCGCTCGCCGCTCGCAGGCCAACTCCTCCCCAGCACGGTGCGTGCGTGCGCTCAGGTTGAACTCGATGCCGCGACTTCACAGCCTCCGCCGTGAAGCTGCAGCGCCGAATCGGACGCTTTGGCAGCGCTTCGCCGGCTGTCATCCCAGTCCATGGTCGCTCCACATCGATTCCCAGGCGTGCCCGCACGCTCCTCAGGGGAGTGGGCACGCCTCTTGCTATCCTGAAGCGCGCGTCAAGCCCGCTCGACCGTGAGCTTGCTCAGCGAACAGTTTTTCAACAGACGTTGAGCGACGGGCGTGAATCTCCCACACACTCGCCAACTCCTGACTGAGCAGGCCTAGTACCCACGTGATAGCCCCACTGATCCATCCCATGCGATCAGGCGCCGCTCGGACCCCATCTTCGAGCAGGATTCCTCGCGGCAACACAACTCGCCGCTCTCGATGTGCGCGCTAGGCAGTCTCAACGCCGATTACTGCCGAGCGCGCACGACTCGTCGGCGTACCGGCGTGCCGCTGGCATACTACGCGACGGTGGAGGCGCGTGGGCTTGCTCAAAAGGCATGCATCTGTCGGAGAGCGTGCCGCAAGACCTGATGTGCCTCCGCTCCAGGTGTGTGGCAGTTCGATGGATCCAGCCCAGCGACCTCCACGTGACGATTGAGGACTGCTCTTCCCCTTCGGCCGAGCCTCCAGTCCCTGCCACCGTGCACTGGCGCCAGCGAGCTGCATTTACATCCCGCACGCGCGATCGGCAGTCGAGTTACAACCCGCAGCTGTGCTGTGTGCGCGCGCACTCGAAACGTGGTTCGGCGATCTCTCGGCGACCACTCGTCGACTCGCGCTCGGACGCGAGGTGCGTGCTCGCCTGCCTCCCCCGGGAAGGACACGGCCATTTTCAGCGAGATCTGTGGATCATCCTCACCACCCTGCCCTCACGCCACCCAACCCGTCCGGCTGCTGCCATACTGGGACATGAGTGCAATATTTGTGCTGCCCTCGCCATCCGACGCGTGTGCTCCGCTCCCCGCAGGCGAGGATCGCCGTCGCGCACCAACACGCTTCGTCCGGGAGGCGCGCGGCGCGACCCGCGTTGCGAGAGCGTCGGCGGAGCCCGCGTGCCGGCCCTCACTCTCTGGGCCGGCGCGGGGCCCCCCGGAGGCACCGTGCGCCGCGCAGCAGTGCGGAAACGGGGCTCCGGCTCCGCTAGTCTCAGCTAGGACCAACTTACCGAATGGTTACGGTTGGTTAGAGGGCAGATTTGGAGAGATCTCGAGGAGTACACACAGATAGACCCTCCAACCATCAGAAAACTCCAACCTGATCGGTCGTACTGACCGCCGACAGATCACTCCCCAGACAGCAGACACCAAGGACCGCCGCAAGCGGCGTGGCGTGGGGCGGTTGAGCATCCCTAGAGGCGTCACCACATGCTGGCCCTGCCCACTCCGCCGTATTCGCTATTCCGCCGTAACATGTCGCCGACGCCTCCCTGCCCACTCCCACCCGTGATGCGAGACGCACCCCTACTTCTTCTCGTAGGACGGCAACGCGTCGCACCCGTCGCCCGTGTAGCCGTCCTCGTCGACGAACGACAGCAAAATCTTCTCGATGTCGTAGTACCGGCCGCCCGGCTTGAACATCTCGATGTGCTTCTGCCACTTGGCGTCGGGCCCCGCCTCGCCGAAGCGCCCCTCGTGCCACTTGACGATGTCGGAGCAGTCCACGCCCGCGCAGAAGGCCCGTTGCTGGAAGGTCTTGATCGTCGCCGCCGCGCCCGCCGAGAGCAGCGGCATGATCGTCACGTGCTGATAGAACTGCCACAGGTTCTGCACCGGGTCGTCGTTGCAGAGGAAGTTTTGGTCGTGGCTGCGTTCGCGCGCGCACGGGCGGTGAGAAGGCGGCGGCGGTGGCGCGGGCGGTGGCCGGCCTGCACCTGTTGACGACCTCGAGCTCGGCGAGCGCCGCGCGCTGCGCGTCGTCGATCGTGATCGTCTTCCCGTCGTCGAGGAGGTCGGGGAAGGAGATCGTCGAGCCGAGCGGCGCGTGGAGCAGCCCGTCCGACGCGTACGCCGTCTTGTGCGCCGAGGGGAAGAGGTAGATGAGCTCCTCGGCGCCGGCGCCGAGCTTCTCCTGCCACACCGGCCGCATCTCCGCCGGCTTCACCGCCTGGAGGCCGTCGCCGCGGCGGTACGACGCGTGGAGGAGGCCCGCGACGCAGACGTCTTCCTGGCATCCCCACTCCTTCAGGAGGAGGTAGCACGAGATGAAGTGGTCGGCGATCGTGCGGTCGAAGCCCGAGTGGAGCGCGTGCGTCACCTTCTGCTCGATCGTCTTCGCGCCCGACTCCTCGATGATCTCCATCAGGTGCGCCGGCACGTCGCCGGTGGAGATCTTCAACCGCTCCTCGCGCTGGCGCATCTTCGTGACGCCCTCCGCCGACACCTCGAGCTGCGCGCTCTCAATCATCCACTCGTAGAACTCGTCGGCGCACACCGATCCGCCCGCGTCCTTGTCCATCTCGGTGAACATCGCGGCCTTCACCTCGGGCGTCCAAGCCACCGAGGAGAAGTACGGCGCGAGCATGTCGAGCTCCTCGTAGTCGATCTCGCCGTTGCCGTCGCGGTCGACCTCCTCGAAGATGTGGTTGACCATGCCGCGCGACATGCCCTGTGGGAGCAAATGGTGTCAGGAAATTGCGCAGATCGCGCAATTGTGGCGGGATGCGCACCGAGAGCCGCTCCTTCACAAACTCGGTCTGGCACGAGGCGACCTCGAGGCCGGTCGCCGTCGAGTACACGGGTGCCTCCATGGAGACAGCCGCGCGCGAGGGTGTCATGGACGCACGTGCTGGCAGGACGTACGCAGCCGACGAGCCCGTGGTCAGCGCTGCGATCATGTTGGGACACAGAGATGCAATTTGGGCCACAGAGGATCGGTTTCGTCGACGGCGGCGGGGGAGGAGGTGTGAAGGGCGTCTTGGGTCCGTGGTTGTGTTTTTGTGTGAAGGGCGAGGTGTGAACGGCGACGGCATCGCCAGATAAAAAACCCGGGACTGTCTGCTCCCGATACAAACTTCTTTATCACGCCCCTCCCCCTAAACAACCAGTTATAATACTCATATTGTAGTCACACACACACACACACACACACACACACACACACACCGGCGGCGATTGCAACGGCGGAGCACGCCCTCGCGGAGTAATCGGCCTTAGCAGACGTCACACAGGCGCTCCTCGGCCCTAGCCGTCTCCTCCACCTCCCCCGCCGCTTCGACTAGCGCCTCCAGCCGCGGCAGCGCCTCTGCGAGCGGCATCCGCCTCTTCTTCCTCACGAGAGCCAGCCCGACCACCAGCCGCGCCAACTCCTCGGCCTGCGCCGCCGACCAGCCCGCGTCGGCCGCCGCGATCGATCCTTCCGCCGTGTCGGGCTCCTCAAGCGCATCATCGCACTCGTCGAGCAAGCCGACGGCGCCGCGGCCGGTCAGGGCGACGACCAGCGTGATGCCGAGCGCATAGCCGTCGGTCAGCACTGACGCCTGCCCGCTCTGCGAGATGATTGGGTCCATGTATAGCTTGCCGAACAGGCGCTGCGTCGACAAGTGCGAGACCTGCTGGTTGCCGCCGGCCGTCGCCTCTGCCGCGCGCGCGAGGCCCACGTCGGCGAGGTAGCCGTTGCCGCGCTCGTCGAGCAGGATGTTGCCCGCCGAGACGTCGCGGTGCAGGATCATCGGAGAGAGCGTGTGCAGGTAGTGCAGCGCGCTCGCGGCGTCAGGGCGACGTGGTCGAAATGGAGTTCCAGCGGACCTTGGAGCTGGCGCGGGAAGCTTCGCGGTACACGCTCGACTTGGAGGTGAGGCGGCGCGTCCTGCTGCGCGACGGTACGGGCGAGGGCGACGGCGAGGGAGGTGAAGGTGGCGGCGGAGGCGGCGAGGGCACCGGCGAGGGTGACCGCGGGGGAATGGCGCTGCTGGGCGGCGGCGCCGCTGTCGTCCTTTACGGCGGTGAGGAAGCCGAGCGGATTCAATTCACGACTTCTGCTGCGACGGCGGCGGCAGATGCGGCGGCGCACAAAGCGACCGCTGCTGGACTATTGCCGGCGGCAGCAGAGGCGGCGGGCGACGCGGCCGGCTCCGCTATCCTCTCTGGCGTGACGGGGGAGGTGTCGGCAGAGGCGGGCGCCGCGGCAGGCAGGAACGTGCAGGCGATTCTCGACGAGTGCGGAGATGAGGTAGCGGCGCTTCCTGTAGCTAATCGCGCCGGAAAAAGCCCCCTCCGCAGCTCGACTCGAGAGTCGAGCTGCGGAGGGGGCCGTGTGTGTGTTTTTTTAGTTCGCAAAATTTTTTAACAAATTTTAAAGCAATAACTCCATTCGTACAGGGGCAGTACAGGTGGTGTGTGCGCCATAAGTCTAGCAGTGTGTGCAGCAGCTAAGAGGGATTCGCTCGAGCGGCGGCGATCGCGGCGGAGCGACCGCGGCGGTCGCTCTACGCTCACGCGGTCACGCCGCGGGGTCGTAGGCGAGGTAGGGGCCCATCCACCGCTCCGCCTCCTCCATGCTCATCCCCTTGCGGCTGGCGTAGTCGGTGATCTGGTCCTTGCAGACCTTGCCGACCTGGAAGTAGGTGGAGCACGGGTTGGCAAAGATGACGGCGGAGACCGATGCGGCGGGCAGCATGGCAAACGAGTCGGTCATCGTGATGCCCGTCGCCTTCTCCGCGTCGAGCAGCTCCCACAGGAAGGCCTTCTCGGTGTGGTCGGGCTGCGTCGGGTAGCCGGGCGCCGGCCGGATGCCCTGGTACTTGACCTTGAGCATGTCGTCGGCCGAGAGCGCCTCGTCGGGCGCGTAGCCCCAGAGCTCCTTGCGCATCTTGTGGTGCAGCAGCTCGGCAAAGGCCTCGGCGAGGCGGTCCGCCACCGCCTCCATCATGATGCCCTGGTAGTCGTCGCCCTCGGCGCGCAGCTTGGAGCAGACCTCCTCGCACCCAAAGCCGCACGACACGGCGAAGCCGCCGACGTAGTCCTTGACGCCCGACTCCTTGGTGGCGACAAAGTCGGAGAGCGCGAGGTAGTGGTCGTCCTCGCGCTCCTCCTGCTGCCGGAGCGTGTGCAGCACGCCGCGCACCGCGCCCGAGCCGTCCGCCGCGTACACCTCGATGTCGTCGCCGACCGCGTTGGCCGGCCAGATGCCGACGACGGCGCGCGCCTTGAGCGTCTTGTTCTTGATGATGTCGGCGATCAGCGCCTCGCCGTCGGCGTGCAGCTTCTTCGCCTCCTCGCCCACCGTCTCGTCGTTGAAGATCTTCGGGTAGCCGCGGTTGGGGTACTTGCCGCGCAGCTGCCAGACCTGGAAGAACGGGTTCCAGTCGATGTACGGCAGCAGCTCCTCGAGGGGGTAGTCCTCGTACACCTTGGTGCCGACCAGCTGCGGCGTCGGCGGCGTCGCGTCCTTGCCCCACTTGACGCCGAGCCCCAGCTCGCGCGCCTCCTCCAGCGTCTTGAACTTGCGCGAGGCGAGCGAGGCGTAGTGGTCCTCGCGCAGCTCCTCGTACTGCTCGTTGACGTCCTCGACCATCTCCTCGCGCTGGTCGGGGTTGAGCAGCGCGGAGCAGACGCCGACGGCGCGCGACGCGTCGAGCACGTGCATCGCGACGCCCGAGTACATGGGCGCCACCTTGACCGCCGTGTGCATCTTGGACGTGGTGGCGCCGCCGATGAGCAGCGGGATCTTCATGCCCAGCCGCTCCATCTCCTTGGCGACGGCGACCATCTCGTCGAGGGAGGGCGTGATGAGGCCCGAGAGGCCGAGGATCTGCGCCTTGTTCTCGCGGCACGCCTCGAGGATGTTGAAGCACGGCTGCATCACGCCGCAGTCGATCACCTTGAAGTTGTTGCAGCCGAGCACGACGCCGACGATGTTCTTGCCGATGTCGTGAACGTCACCCTTGACGGTGGCGAGGACGACCGTGCCCTTGCCGCACTGCTCCTCCTCCTCGGCGAGCCCCGCCGCCGCGCGCTCCGCGGCGCGCTTCGTCTTCTCCGCCTCGAGGAAGGGGAGCGTACTACTTTACATAACAAGATGGATGCATTGTTTGTACGACTAATACTCTTAAATAACGACAACGAAGTTTCATGCTGAAGGCATCCTAGTTCTATAATCTTGGAACGTCGCGTGTAGTTGCTCGAGCGGCGTGGCGAAGAGCTGGCGCGCCTCCTCCACGTCCTCGTCCGTGAACTCGGAGAGCCCCTTGACGAGCGAGTAGGTGAGCCGCTCCTGCGGGCGCGAGGCGTGCGGCGGTGAGGGCCGCGGCGGGCGAGGGCAGCGGGGAGGGAGGGCAGGGAAGAGAGGTGGCGGTGGGGAGAGGCGGGGGCGGGGGCGAGGCGCTCCTTGATGGGCTTGTTGCGCCACTCGGCCGCGTCCTTCTTCACCACCTTGCCGCCGCCCGCGTCCTTGCGCTCCTTCTCCTCCTCGGCAAACTTGAGCAGCCGCTCGACGTGGCCGCCGTCGGCCGACTCGTTGAGGACCACCTCCTCGCAGTACTGGCGCATCGGCTGCGGGATGTCCTCGTAGATGGGCATCGCGCCCGCGTTGACGATGCCAAAGTCCATCCCGTTCTGGATGCAGTGGTACAGGAAGATTGCGTGCATCGCCTCACGCAGCGCCGTGAGCCTGCGTGGGTGCGTACGCCGACATGAGGGCGGGAGTACCGTCTCGTGCCGTGTATTCGGAGCACCGCGTGAATACGAGGGAGGCGAATACAGCGAATACGGCCGAGTACGGCAGACTACAGTTGACTACGTGCCCTCTCGAGCGCTGGTTGGGAGACAATAAATCCGTATTCCGCTTCTAGCGCCGTGAGCCCGCGAAAGCCGAAGGAGAGGTTCGAGACGCCGCCTGAGATGTGCGCGCCGGGCAGGTTCTCCTTGATGTACTTTGTGGCGAGGATGAAGTCCTTGCCGTAGTTGTTGTGCTCCTCGACGCCGGCGACAATGGTGAGGATGTTGGGGTCAAAGATGATGTCGTGCGGCGGGAACTCAACCTCGGGGCCGACAAGGATGTCGTACGCGCGCCTGAGGTGACGCGAGATGACATGAGATTGCGCGAGGCCGAGGCACGACAGGGGCGCGCATCTCGGGGAGGGAGAGGGAGGGAGGGAGGGAGAGGGAGGGAGGGAGGGAGGGAGGGAGAGAGGGAGGGAGAGAGGGAGAGAGAACGAGAAGAGAGAGAGGAGAAGAGAGAGGAGGGGAGATGGCATAGGCGGCGCGCGCTTGCAGATGCGGCACTTGTCCTCGTACGTGGCCGCCTGGCCCACCTCGTCGAAGGCCATCACGACGACCGCAGCGCCGAACCGCTTGACGATCTTGGCGTTCTTGATGAAGGCGGCCTCGCCCTCCTTGAGCGAGATGGAGTTGAAGATGCACTTACCCTGGCAGCACTTGAGCCCCGCGACGCCGATGTGGAACTTTGACGAGTCGACGCAGATGGGCAGCTTGGAGACGTCGGGCTCGGGGATCAGCATGTTCAGGAACTTCTTCATCGCGTACTCGCCGTCGAGCAGGCCTTCGTCCATGTTGACGTCGATGACCGTCGCGCCCGACTCGGCCTGCGCGAGCGCAATCTCGAGCCCCTTGTCGTACTTGCCGTCGAGGATGAGCTTCTTGAACTTGGCCGAGCCGGCAATGTTGCACCGCTCGCCGATGTTGACGTAGCCGAGGTTCGCGTCGACGGTGATGGCCTCCAGCCCGGAGAGGCGCATCTTGTCGCACAGCGGGTTGCGCACGTGCGGCTTGAACTTTTCGCGGTCGAGCATCTGCGCAAGCGACGCAATGTGCTCCGGGGTGGTGCCGCAGCAGCCGCCGAGCATGTTGACGAGGCCCAGCTCGGCGAACTGGCGCACCGCGTCGGAAAACATCTGGGGCGTGTCGTCGTACCCCCCCATGGCGTTGGGCAGCCCGGCGTTCGGGTACGAGTGCACAAAGCACTCGGCGACGCCCGCGAGCGCCTGCATGAAGGGCAGCATCTGCGGCGCGCCGAGCGCGCAGTTGAGGCCGATGCAGAGCGGCTTCGAGTGCTGCACCGAGACGTAGAAGGCCTCGGTGGTCTGGCCGGAGAGCGTGCGGCCGGACATGTCGACGATGGTGCCCGAGATGATGACGGGCAGCCGCGGGCAGCCCGACTCCTCGTAGTACTCGTCGATCGCAAACAGCGCCGCCTTGGCGTTGAGCGTGTCGAAGATGGTCTCGACGAGGATGATGTGCACGCCGCCGTCGATCAGGCCGGCGACCTGCTCCTTGTACGCGGTGACCACCTCGTCCCAGGTGCAGTTGCGGAAGCCGGGGTCCTCCACCGACGGCGAGATGGAGAGGGTCCGGTTGGTCGGCCCGATTGCGCCGCAAACCATCCGCGGCTTGTGCGGCTCCAGCTGGGTCACCTCCTTGGCGGCGTCGACGGCGAGCTCGGCGGCCACCTTGTTGAGCTCGTAAACGATGTGCTCCATCTTGTAGTCCGCCTGCGCGATCGTCGTCCCTGAGAAGGTGTTTGTCTCGACCATGTCGGCGCCCGCGAGGAAGTAGCGGCGGTGGATGTCGCGGATGGTGTCGGGCTGCGTGAAGACGAGCAGGTCGTTGTTGCCCTTGAGCTCCTGCGGCGCGCGGCGGGCCGAGGAGCCGTGTCGCGAGGGAAGAGCGGCCGCGTGCTAGAGAGGCCAGCGGCGAGAGGGCCGGCGGCGGCAAGGGTCGGAGGGGTGGCATCGGCGGCGGTTGCCTGGTCGATATCCTTCCAGCGCTCGCCGCGGAAGTCCTCCTCGGAGAATTTGTACTGCTGGATGGTGGTGCCCATCGCGCCGTCGATCACCATAATCCGCTCCTGCATGTTCTTCTCAAGGTAGGAGCGCACCATCTCAGCGTCGACGGGGGCTGCGCGCGAGAGGAGAAGCGGGTGAGCGCGCCGTGCACAGAGAGGCAGGAGAGGAGTGGTGGTTGGGCGCGCGCACATCCCCAGGGCAGGTCCGGAAAGGTCCCTTCGACCTTGGCGGCCACCAGCTTGGGCGTGTCCATCTTGGACGTGAGCGCGGCCTTGGCCAGCTCCAGCCGCTCCACCAGGCTCGCGACGACAACCTTGAGCTCGTCCAGGCTGAGCTCGTCGTAGTTGATGGCCGCCTGCGCAAGGCGGCGGCGGCTGGAGGCCTACCGCGAGGGCTGCGGCGCGGCGCAGGCGGGCCGTTCGCAAGCGTGGCCCTCTTGCAGTTTCACAGAGATCTGCAGCGGGCGCAGAGCGGCCGCAGCGGTGTGACCCGCCGGCCGGCGACTTTGGCGCGCAGCGCTGTGGACAGCGCCGCGGGGTGCGGTGGTCTAGCGCGCCTGCTGGCGCTCGATCTCGGCCGTCACGGCGGCGGAGAGCGAGGCAGAGTCCATCGTGTGGATGCGAGCAGAAGGTTCCGCAGCGATCGCTCGCGATGTGCACAACCAGAAAAAATAACCGTCCCGTAGAGCCGAACTTACACTCCTCTCCTTAAAATCCCTGTGTGGTGGCGGCGTGCCGTTCTCCCATCCCTCCCTTGGTGTTTTGTTTCTTTCTTTCTTTAGAGCCCTGCTTGCCATTGTAAATGAGTGGTATTTTTACCAGTTGATTCTCCTGGGGAGTGGTATTCAGAGAGAGAGATTTTTAGCAATACCATATTCAAGGCCTGGGAGCGCTGGGGTGATGAACCACCGCTCACCCGCTCTCATCTCATCCTCTCCCGCTCTGGCTGGCACTCACTCATGAGATCAGTGATCACCATGCTCTCAGGCCCCATGGTGTGTTGTGCGTGGATATGTTCATGATCCCATGTGCATGGAGTGACGCGCACGCGGGGCGGGCTGTGTCGGCGGCGGCGGGGCCCGCGCTGAGGGGCGGCGGCGCGCTTCCACCCTACGAGTAGAGACTGCTGACTAGAAATTAGCGAGTGCAGCGAGCCATTCGTGAATTCTTTTCTTTCTGCTCGGCTCTATGTCACCAGTTTTCGCAAATTGTGCCGCGGCGGCTGCCCGCAGACCCGCGGCAGTGCGGGGTGGGGCTGCGCGCCTGCGCCGCTGCGGGCTGCGGGGGTGGGGACTGGGGTGCGTATCTCGCAGCACATGACATGACTGTGCGCGACACATGCGCGGGAGACCGTGCCCGCGCGCGAGCCGCGCGGGGGGGAGGCCCTCACGGCCTCCACTCCGACCGAGACCAGCAACGGAGGGGGGCAGGAGGGCGCGCGGCAAGCCGCGGGCTCGGCGCATAGCACGGGGCAGTCAGAGAAGGGGGCAACACTGACCGTCACTTGCACCCTACCGCCCTTCTCATCACTGCCCCGGCGCCCACACCTCGATCTTCTTGGGCACGCTCGGCTCCGCTCGGCTCCGCTCGGCTCCGCTCGGCTCCGCTCGGCTCCGCTCGGCTCCGCTCGGCTCCGCTCGGCTCCGCTCGGCTCCTGCCATCCTACAGTGGGACTGTACCGGAATCACGGGCCCTTGAGGTCAAACATCGGGAGCCAGAGTTTATGTAGCTCCCTTTGCCTTCCTCCTCAAGAGCAGCAGCAGCAGCAGCAGCAGCAGCAGCAGCAGCAGCAGCAGCAGCAGCAGCAGCAGCAGCAGCAACCAAGGTGTCCGCGTCAAGGTACAGCCTTTGATGTCCGGGTAGTGGCTTGCCAGGTACAGCCGATTCACCGCACACCTCTTGAACCTCTCGAGGTGTCTGACCACCAAATCGTCAAACCGTAATCCCATCGAATCTCCTAACGGCATGCAGTGCGGACACACCGCCCTCGTGCTCGCATTCAGAGGCTTGAGCAGATGCAAATGGACAGCCTCTGCACCGTCATGCATGATGTGGACGTGCACGGTTGCTGATGCCATGAACACGAGCGCACGGATGTTACTCAGCACCGTCTCGGCCAGCAATTTTGATCCACAGACACTGAACCACATGAAGTGTGTCAATTCCTTGGTCATGAGAATGAGACGAGCGTGCCGGTTTCGTGGTAGGTTGCGTCTCGAGAGCCGCTCGGGACGCAGCGTCCCGCAGGATGCAGACCACTTCCGCAGAAGATTTGCAAACCCGACCCGTGCGCATAATGGCGGGCATGCAACACTGATTGGGACCGCCAGGTCGACTGGAGCAGAGGTGCCCGCCGCACATCCCGCATGTTGCGTTGCAGCAAACCTGGCCGCTCAGGTGCAGGACGCCGGCCGAGCAGGCGTTGGATGCTATCTGCGCCACGGACCTGACGGTGAGGTTGAGGCGGTGGTTGATGACCGTACGGTGCGCCTCGGCCGACGAGGGGGGCGAAACATGGAATTTGGGCCGTTGGTTCTTCAACGGACGCGGGGGGGAACGGAAATCCGCAAGGACCTAGGGAAGGACGATAAGGGACACAAGGGAACGGAGAGGGGAGCGCATCGCGACACGGAGGGAGGCTGGGCAGGATTCACCCGCAGGACAGGGTCTCTCCCAGGGATTCCTCTCTCTCTCGTATATATAGGACAGGTTGCTTGCATGCATGCACCCGGCGGCACGGGCGGGGGCAGACACACGATGGACTCTGCCTCGCTCTCCGCCGCCGTGACGGCCGAGATCGAGCGCCAGCAGGCGCGCTAGACCACCGCACCCCGCGGCGCTGTCCACAGCGCCGTGCGCGCCAAAGTCGCCGGCCGGCGGGTCACACCGCGGCGCTGCGGCCGCCCTGCGCCCGCTGCAGATCTCTGCCGCGGGCACCAGGTTCAGGATGGCTGGCCTGAGGAAGGGCAGATCTCGTTCCGCCACCTTGGAGGTGCTGCCACCAACGGTCTTGCCAGTGGCTCAAGTAAAGCCCGGAGACATGCTCCACGGGCTCCTGCGCCACCGCTAGCCACTCTTCAAGCAATGCCGGGGTGATCTGGGAGATGTTGGCGGGAAGACGGACCACCGGAAATCCGTCAAACAGCCGCTGATCCATCGAAGGCAGCGCGAGCACCACAGGGATGCTGCCCATGGCCAGAGTCTCCCATGTGCGGAAGGCGTCGTACCCCATGCCTGGCGCGGACAGCACAAACTTGTGTTGGCCCGTCATCGCCAGAGCCTCCTCAAAGCTGACTCGCCTCTCGATAGGGCGGACATCACGCGCAAACTGCTTTGCCATCAGGTGCGCCAGGAGCTGGGCGCGGTGTTTCTTCCTTCCCAGCGTGACGGCGTGCTTGGGGAGGGACTCCCAAGCAAACATGAGCAGCTGCGAGGAACGCTCTGCCCAGCGCGGCGCCGACGCGCGGAAGCGGCGAAGGACGGGCTCGTACACGACGCGGTCGTAAGGGGTATAATGATGCGAGGCGAGCCCCAGCGGAATAGGGTAGAAGATATCCGGGCGCGTTGGGCGCATCAAGTTGGTTGCATAGCACGCTTGCATCGTAGGGAGGAGGGTCAACAGCCTGTGTTGCAAGTCCGCGTCCAGATTGCTATCGGAGTTGACGAAGACGAGCACAGAGCTCACATTGCCAGGGCGGAAGCCTGGTGACTGAAGTCTCTCCAATAGCTGCCTCCCGCATGGGCCACGCTCAGCGAAGATCACCTCCCGCCCTGCAGGGAGCTTGAGCGCCACAAGCGCCTCGTTCACCTCCTTCCAGCATGAATGTGGGTTGCCGGGTGAGGAGCGAACCCGGAACATGCCTTTGGTAGACGCGTGAAGGTACCCTTCGACGCTCACCATGAGGGGCTGTACCGCTTTCCCGTCCGTCCGCTGTAGCTTTGGCGTGGCGGGCATCCGTAGCTTTGGATTGAGGTGACTTCAAGGCACCTGCACCCCTATCGAGCCGAGCCCGCCAGCCGGTCGACCCTTGGTTCTCGAAAATCTCTCTCGGTCCTTTCGTCAGACGGACATTACACATCGGCGAGGCCCGCCATCCCCGGACGCTGCGCTACACTGCTCAACTTCGCGCGCGTGTCCCCCTCCAGCCCCCTCCGGTGTGTACTTGTTACGTGAAAACCCGCTGGGACCTGGACGCCCCGTGCACGGCAATTCCCCCGCCCCTTCTCCTTTGAGTTGAAAAAGGTTTAGGTATGTTTTAGGTATATTGTTGAAAAAGGAGAGAAGAAGAAAAACAGATTCTCTCTTGAAATCGTAACACGCGTCGTGCGTGCGTCCACGTAAGTCCAATGCAGCGCGCCGTCCCATCCTGTGGCTACAACTTCCCCAACCTGCGCCAGCACCGCGAATGCATCCGCGATCTTTGCGCACAGCGGGCGCGCGCCAACCCAAGAGCGAAATGGCAGCCCAGGCTGCTCGACGCGGCGGCAGTGCTGCGCTACGCGTTTGCGATGACGACGCTTCCGGGGCGGGCGCCGCACCTGCGCCCCGTGCTGGACAGCCTGGTGCGGCAGGACCCCATCCCTCCCGCGCTGATCTCGATCGCACTCGAGCCGCGCCTCCGCGGGGCGCCGGTCAACACCAGCCGGGTCGCGCAGCAATGCCGGCGGGCGGCGGCGCTCGCGGGCGCGCGCCTGCACGTGACGCTGCTGACGCGAGAGTGGGGTGCCGCCGCCAAGATGCTCGCCGCGTTCGCCGCCTCCGCCGCCGACCGCGCGTTGGACGCGGTCATCGTTTGCGACGACGACGTGCTGTACCGCCCGTGGCTCGCGCAGCAGTACCTGCGGGTGGACGTGCGCGCCGAGGGGCGGAAGGCCCTCGCCGTTCTCACGACGGTGAAGTGGTACCCTGTCCGCTCCAACGCGTGCGTCCGCATGGTGCAGGGCAGCGACTCGTTTTGGGTGCCCGCGCCGCTGCTGCGACCGAACCGCGAGGCCGACTTCAAGGCGATGCTCGTCTGGGTGCAGGCGCGGAGCAAGGTGGCCTTCCGGAGCGACGACTACTGGAATTCTGTCTTCCTCAACGCGCCCTGCGACGGCTGGGAACCCACGGTGAGGACATTGGGAGGCGAGCGGCCGTACACGAGCCACCCGCCGAGCCAGCGGCCAGAGGCGGGCTCGCAGCTGCACGCGCGGTCGCTATACGAGCAGTGGGTCGTCCCGGAGCAGCTGATCGACCGCCACCACCCGACGCTGGAGCGCATTGCATGCAGATCGCGCCGCAACGAGAGCGCGCGGCGGAGCACGAGTGCGATCGAACCGCCATCGGAACACGAATAGGCCGCGTGAGTCTGAGAGAACTCAAGCGGCAAAAACGCACACATGCCCAGGCGAGGTAGAGCCGTAAACTAAAGGAGTAGAGCGTAGAGGGAGGGCCGAAGATCTAGTTCCATTCACAGTGGCACAGCGCGAGTTACAAACCTTGATTTTGGTCATTTGCGCCATTTTATACCTATCGGTGCCTTCCAGAGGCAGCTGCGACTAGGGGTATACCTGGAAGAGACACACACGTTTCCACAAAACACGCCCACAGCCACCCCCCCCCACCGCATCTGTGTAAAAAAGAATTCTAACAATACAAGCCCCTCACAGCAGACGCTGGCACCACAAAAGAAGTACCGCTAGCGAGCCAGCGCCGGCGCGGTGAGCAGCGCGCAGTGGCTCATCAGCTCGCAGTCGTCGGGGAAGGCGTCGAGCAGCACGAGGTCGTCGCTGTCGTCGATCGCCTCGTCGAAGCCGAACCAGTAAAGCACCAGCCCCGACGCGTACCGGTTGACGTAGCTCGCGAACTGCGTCGCGGCGTACTCTGAGGGCGGCGGCGGCGATGGGGCGGTGGAGGCTGGGGCGGTGCGGGCTGGGACGGTGAGGGGACAGCGGGAGTGGGGGCGGCGGCGGGGACGGTGGTGGCGGCGGCGGCGAGAGAGGTTGCGGGTACGGCCGCGGCACGGCGGATCACCTGCGTGCGATGCTGGGTCGCCAAACGTGGCCTTGGAGTCGACCCAGTGAACCTAAACAAGCCAGCCGCCGACCGGCAAGCACTGATTGACGTGGGCAGCGGCGGTGGAGTCGACACCTGCGCACCTGGCGGCCCCGAACCAGCAGCGGGACCGGCAGCAGCGCGTCGGGCGTCTTGGCCTCGCCTCTCTCGCGCAGCTGCTCCTCGGAGAGGAAGGGGATGCCACGCGCGCGCAGCTCCTGTGATAGCACAAGCTCCTGCTGCAGCCCGGTCAGCCGGCGCGCCTGTTCGGCCGGAAAGCGTGAAGAGACGCTCTTCACAGCTCGCGGGCCAGTCGGCTGCCCGCGCCGCGTCCACCGCAGGGCCGTATGCTGCGTCCGACGCCACGGCGGCAGCCACCTCGCTGCGCAGCCGCGGGTCGTCGATGAGCGAGGGGCTTCGCAGCAGCGCGCCGGCGCCGTGCCTCCCCTTGGCGCCCTTGCGCAGGCTGTACCTCTCCTCAAGCACGACTCGTGCCAGCATGGTCGGCGGAAGGTCGAGCTCGGACGCGATGGCGACGAGGTGCGCGCCGCCCTCGTACCGCTGCGTGATCGCGGCCGCCTTGGCGCGGTGCCGGCCCATGCTCGCTTTGGTCGCCGCGACGAGCCGCGCTGCGCAGATGGAGAGGAGCGCCTCGTAGCTCAGGCCGAGCGACGGGTCGGCCGCCAGCGCCACCGCGTCGCAGGGCGTGCGGCACTCGGCGGCGGCACGCAGGTACGCCGCGTGCGTGCACGGCATGCAAGCTCTTCCGACACTTCTGCGCCCGCCCGCATGCAAAAAAACGCGGGAATTAGGGAGTTCCCCTCCGCCTGCTGACAGACCCAGCCTCCCGGAGACCGGGGATGGGCGGTCAGGACCATACCCCCCCACCCTTTGGGCCGCGAGTGTACCATACCATACCCCGCAAAAAGTTGGAACCCAGAGCTCACGATCACGTACACAAGTCACACACAAGAACACAACACCCCGCTGCTTCATCACGACCTCGGGGTCGTGATGAAGCAGCAGGGTTGCGGGGGGGCATTCCAGGAATGCCACGGCCCCCCCACACCTCGCGCGCGGAGGGCAACAAGCGACCCTCCGCATATGGCAGAGCACGCCGCCGTGCACACGGTGCTGCCCATGGAGGCCACATCGCCCGCAGCGTAGTGAGTAAGTAGGCTCGCCGTAGCGGCCATCGGCCGCGTAGCAATTTGGGCTGAGCACAGTTTTCCGGAAAACAAAAAGGAAAACAGAGGGTCCCCAGCACTTTGCGTTTCCGGAAATTTCCAGGGAAAAGAGGGTGTTTGGTGCTCCATTCTGGAAACTCGCGAGTTTCCCTGAGTCTGAGAGCTGGTCTGGGGCAAAATCTGAGGCAAAATTGAGGAAATCGACAAAATACCCAGGCGATCGCAGGGTAAATTCCAGGTATGCACGGGTTCTCCGCAAAATTCCCGGCATTTTGCCGATTTGACCTAAAATTTGGCTGATTTTGGGCCCAAACCAGCCTCAGAGCCCAAAATTTGACGATTTCCACGGAGTTTTCCCGGGAAAAGAGAGAGGAAAAGAGAGGGTGTTGTAGAGAAAAAAGGAAAGGAAAACAGACGGGTCGCGAGAGGCAAACTGTGCTCAGCCCAACGTAGCATGTAGTATCAAGGTAGCGAGTAGTGATAAAAAGTAGCGAGCATCCCTGCAGGCTGCGCGGCGCTGGCACATGTGCATGAGCATGCCATCTTATTTATGCATGTGCATGTGCAGGCTGCGCGGCGCTGGCATAGGCATGTGCATGCCATCTTGTGCATGTTCGTGTGCAGGCTGCGCGGCGCGGACGGGCGCCCCAACCCGCACGAGGAGAGTACGACCTCGAACTGCGAGCTCGACACATGGGAGAGCCAGTATGGCGGGCGGGCGGGAGCGCCCTCGATACTCGAGCAGCGAGGACGGGCAGCAGGCGACGTTTGGGAGCAAAATGTCGAACAGCACGGAGGGTCTCGGCCGTGGTGCGCACCCGATGGGTCGAGACGGAGCGAGTGATCACCTAAGACGATGGGGCGGACGGTCCCAGCTCACTGGCGGTCGCAGGGGGAGGCAGGCAGCTAAATCGGTGACCGAGCGACCCGAAGAGAGGCGCCTGCAGGGATGCAGGCCGAGCAAGTTGCGCGCGCGAGACGCACGGTCGACGCTGTAGAGGCAACGTACCATGCACGTGAGCAACACGCAGGTTTCCAGCTGCCGACCCGGGGACCCCTTGCGGCGCGTCGGTGCCGTCGTCGAGTTGTTTCACAGCCTTGTTAGGGGGGCAGGAGGAGTGCAGGAGGAGATGCAGACAGAGTAGGAGGGGGGGGGGGGGAGAGGAAAGGGGAGGGGGGAGGAGTCTGGGGGGTACTTGAGGGGAGGGGAGAGGGGAGGGGAGAGGGGAGGGGAGGGGGGAGGAGTCTGGGTCACTTGCCTAAGGTTCTTGCCCTCAAATTGCAAAAGTCATGACCCGAATGCATCGAATGCAGATGCACTGTTGTTTGGTATTGCTAAAAATCTCTCTCCTCTCTCTCATGCAATGACGCGCAAAATGCATCGAATGCATATGCAACGAAATGCAATCAGTGTTGTTTTTGCCCATGCAGTTGTAATGCAGGCGATGCAGAGAGAGAGAGTCTTCTTGTTGGCGATGCATGCGAATGCAAAAATGCAGGGGGGGGGGGGGGGGGGTCACTCTCTTCTTCAAAATGCATGAAAATTTTCTACAGACACTTTTGATGCTGAACAAAGTTGTTAGCGTAAGTCAAGCCCTCAAAAACAAACCTATTCACTTTTGTCCAGCCCTCGAAATGACCAGCGGAATCTACTTTTGTTTTTGTACTACGGGTGAGTTGGTTAAATGACCAGGCGTGAAGAACAGCCAGGCTCGGACTGGACACCAGCGCGGTCGCGAGATAGGAGATGACTGCACACTGGAGCTGTGACTGTGAAGACGCGGTCTCTTTTGTGCTCCTCAGGGCTTGCCGCGGTCTTTTTTGCGCGGCGCCTCCACGTGAATTTGAAACGTCACGTTTTTGCCCGCTCCTTCGAGGCTCCGCTCTCGGCCGCAGCAGACGCATGTCGCTTCGAAACCTGCTGCCGCTGCTGCTCGCCACACGCGCCGCGGCCAACTGCTGCCCGGTAAACCAGTTCTGTGGCGCGGATGGCACGACGTGTTACGACAACACGTGCGAGAACCTCTTGACGTACGGCTGTCAAGTTCGGTCTTGCTGCTCATGTCAGACTTCCTCCATCCTCGGGTGCGAGTACCTGATCTGCAACAGCGGCGGCGCAACCTGCGTGCAGAGCATGGGCGTATTCGGCGGCCGGGTGCTCGCCTTGACCGAGCGCGTGTCAATCGTCTCGTGCTCGGGCTCCTTTGGCTTCAGTGTCGCCAACGCCACCTCCACCTGCTCGCGCATCCTGGCCGACGGGAAGGCGAGCACGGAGACGTTTGGCTACGGCCAAGGCCGCTGCGTCGCCGCGGAGCTCGCCAACCGAAAAACCACCTCGAGCTGCACGTCGACCTTCATCGCGCCCTCGCCTCCGCCGCCCGAGCCACCGCCGCCTATCTATACGCCACGCCACCCCCCATACCCCCCGGCCCCGCCGGACCACCCGCCGCCACCCCCCTCGCTGCCGCCACCCTCCTCGCCGCCACCACTGCCCCCGCCGCCCACGGAGCCGCCGCTGCCGCCACCGCTCCACCCGCCGCCGCCGCTCCTGCCGCCGCCCACGCCCCCGCCACCGCTCCACCTGCCGCCGCCGCTCCTGCCGCCGCCCACGCCCCCGTCCCCGCTCCTGCCGCCGCCGCCGCCCCCGCTGCCACCCTCTTCCCCGCCACCCTCACCCCCCCCGCCACTGCCGCCGCCGCCGCCCCCCTCACCGCCGCCACCGCCGCCACCCTCACCGCCGCCGCCACCGTCCCCGCCACCGTCCTCGCCGCCCTCGCCGCCACCGCCGCCTCCGCCGCCGCCTCCCCCCCCTCCGCCGCCGGCGTCGCCGCCATACAAGTGGACAGAGTATGCTATGCCCAGAGGGCGGCGCGGCCACTGCGTCATCGCAGCGCCCTCCGGCGCCCTCGCCTCCCTCGACGTCGCGATGCAGTCGGCCCGCCGCTCGGCCAAGCCGCGCCCCGCCTCCGCCTCGGCCGAAGACGAGACGGCGCTCCTCACCGACCACGAGCAGGACATGTCTCGGACATGTCGTGGACGTGTCTCGGACCTGCCCCTTATAGGCGCTCATCACCGACCACGAGCTGCCGAGCAGAGAGAGCTGCTTCGAGGCGTGCTCGTCCTCCCTCCTCTGCATCGCGCTCGAGTTCTCGCCCGCCGACGCGTCCTCCTCCGCGCTTGCGGACTGCCGGCTCGTCAAAGAGCCTCTCTCGGTCGAGGCGGTGGCGCCTTCCGACACCGCCGCCTGCTACGTGCGGCGCAAGGCCTTCCTCCTCCCGCCCCCGCTCCCGCCTCCCGCGCAGCCGCCCACGTCCGTGCTGGCGTCCGTGCTGGCGCCCGTGGCGGTGTCCATGGCGAGCGGCTTGCTGGCGTTGGCTGCTGTTGGCTCTGCCTGCCTGCTCGCCCTCCGGTGCCGCCCGCGAGACGCGGAGGCGGCGTACGAGCCGCACGAGCACGCCGCGCGAGGCGGACCTGGGGGCGGACTCAAGCGGACCGCCTCGTGGGCGGCGGAGGCAGGCACAGGGTTGGGGCAGCGGGCGGCGGCTCTGGCAAGCAGGGGGGCGGCGGTGGGCGCCGAGTGGGGGCAGCGGGCGGCGGCGGCGGCAAGCAGTCGCTTTGGCAAGCGCGGGGTGCAGCTGCTCGGGGTCGATAGGGACGCGCCACTCTCGCCGGCGCTCCCCGCGGCCGACAAGGAGCGATTCTCGAGGGCCGAGGCCGCTAAGCCCGCGGCGGCCGACGTGATCGGCGAGATCCTCTCCCGCAGCCGTGCCTCCGGGCGACACGCCGCGCCCTCGGCCGGCGAAGCCGCCGCCGACGACGACCGGCGTTGCAGGTCGCCGCCGATCTGGGGGGTGGATTATTGAGAAGAAAACATATACGTCCTATGGCGCTGTGCGCTGGTCTGTGAGAGGTTGTGGTCGAGATTTCACGAAAATGACCCCCCGTGGTGACCCCCGGGTCCCTCCCCCCTCCTTCCAGCACCTCGCTCTTATTTATCGTGGGGATCATCGTCGACGCTCCCCACGTCGCTGCTCCTGTCTGCCCGAGAGTCCTCCTCGCTGGTGTCGCGAGCAAACGGCTGCGCCTCGCCCCCCTCGGCGGGCGAGACGTCGCCTCCCTTGCGGCGCTGCAGCTCTTGCGTGGCGGCGAGGGAGATGAGAACGGCGGCGCCGCCGACCGCGTACTTCCACGAGAAGGGCTTCGGGTAGAGCACGAAGGAGAGGGCCACGGTCAGCACCTGCGGACGCGGCTCCGCCGCTCCTCGCCGCTCCGCTCCGCTCCTCTCTCCGCTCCTCTCTCCGCTCCTCTCTCCGCTCCTCTCTTCTTGTCCTCCCCCCCCCCCAGGCGGCGATTTCAGGCGGCGATACCAGGCGGCGATACCAGGCGGCGATACCAGGCGGCGATACCAGGCGGCGGGCGCGGCGGCGCGGCGGGCACGGCGCGGCGGCGCGGGCGGTGGTGGAATTTCGGTGGAGCCCCGGCTACTCGGCTACTGAAACGGACTCTCTTCTTGGTGCCTTGCGCATGCTCTTGACGAGCTCCGTGACGGTGGCGCCGTAGAGCTTGATCAGGAGCAGCACGACGCTGACGCTCGCGTAGCCGCATATCGAAGACCCCACGAGCAGCGGCAGCACCTGCGGCTGCTTTGCGCCGTGCCGCAGCGCCGCGCCGAGCTCGCCTGGTGGGGTGTGGGCGCGGGGGGAGCTGAGGGCGGCGACTTCGGCAGCGTGCTGTGTGTTTGGGGCACCGCGTGCGCGCGAGGGCCACAGGTACGGCGAGAGCACAGCGTGCAGGGGAGAGCTGCCTCCGGCCAGCTGCATCCGGCCTGGGAATGTGCCCTCTCGAGTGCTATTGCAATAGGCTGGGGTCCACCCGTCTCGCCCCTCCGGCGCGTCTCGGAGTGTGGGTGTGGCGGAGTATGCGGCCGCGGTGGCGGTGGCGGAGGAGGGGGGGGGGGGGGGGGCCCTTGTTGCCCCCCAAAAAGTTTTGGTGGGGGGGGGGGGTGCCCCCCGGCCCCGGGGGGAAAAAGGCACAAAATCGAGCTGCATAGCGGGCATGCCGGCATGGCAGCGACTGCCAAGGAACCCTGAAGCAGTCGTCAGCCGGGGGGGAGTGTCTAGTGCTAGTGCTGCTAGTGCTGGAGGTGCTCGTGGAGGCGGAGGCAGAGGCAGAGGAGGGCGCGCCGGTGGGCAGCAGCAGCAGCAGCCCCCACGCGGAGCCAAACATGGACGAGTAGGCCACCACCTCAACATGGCTCGCCTCGCCAGGGAGGCCAGGGCGGCGGTGAGGCGGGCGGCGCGGCAAGAGGAGGCGCGAGGCCGGCGCGCGGGCGGCGGAGGGCTGCGGAGCAATCACCGCCGGGCTAATCGAAGGTGCTACTTCGCTGCGAGAGGAGGGCGGCGAGGAGGGCGGCGCGAGGCCGCGGGCGGCACCGGGGTGACTGCGCGGAAGAATGCCTTCTCCTCGAAGTTACTCGTCGCGGCGTCGGCGGCGATGCCGAGCAGGATGAGCCCGACGCCGGCGAGGTGGAAGGAGGGCAGCGTGTCCGCGTCGCCGAGGGTGAAGAGCGTGATTCCGCCGACGAGGCCGCCCGCCGCGAGGTACTCGAGGAAGGAGTAGCGCCGGCCCTGCATCAGGGTGCCGAGGAGCATCGTCGGCAGCAGCTTGCTCGACTTGAAGAGCACGCGCGTCGAGTAGTTGAGGTACTTGAGCGACGCGTTGGTGAGGTACATGCCGGCGAGGGTCAGCAGCGAGAGACGCAGGTACTGGTCGAGCGTGCCAACGCGCTGCCGGCTGCCTGTGACCAGCAGCTCGAGGTGGCCGCAGACCGCCATCGTCGCCGCCGTCACAAAGGTCATCCAGCCGCTAAACTTGAAGCCCGGCACCTGGAACACGCCCTCCTGCAGCGCGGCATAGAGGACGGCGCTCCCGATGGCGGACACAGTCAGCACGATGAAGAGCGGGCGGCCGCTCAGCGGCAGGGCGAAGCCGAAGCACTTTGCCTCCGGAGGCCGGCGCATATGTGTGGAAGGAAGAGCGAGGCGTCGGGAGGAGGGCCGCCCAGCGCCATACCAGGTATTTTCGAAGGCTGTGAACTCTCACAGGCCAGCGCACAGCGCCATAGGAGGTATTTTCTTCTCAATAACAAGGCTGTGAACAGGTTGGAGCAGTAGCTCCTGAGCACGGCGCCCAGGGGCCTGTTGATAGGTCCAGGTGATAGCCCTGGATGTGGGGAATGCATACGCCTAGTTGGACCTCAGATCGCCCGACCGCGTCCCGGTGCTCTGTGGTCGGATTTGTGACGCCGCCGCACCGCGCCGCGGCCGGGGGCCCTCCGGAGGCCGAGGATGGCCGTGGCGGACCAGAACGAGCTCTGGGAGGTTCAGTGTCAGTGTATATATTGTAGAGACCAATCATGTCCACAATATCTCTCAGTCTAGCTAAGCCTGGGAAGGCGATGCCGGGGCCATACAGCAGCTTGATGGTGTTTCGCCGGCGTGCGTCCCGGAGCGGTCCCGGTTGGGCGGTCCGGGGGAGAAAACTCAGGACAACGCCGACAACGCTCTGATTCGACTTTTGACTTCAAACAAAGACAGTCGCACGCGCCACGGCGCCTCAGCGCGGCGCGTGCGACTGTCAGGAGCGGATCCGTCAGTTAGTCGTGTTCACGCCGGGATCGTGTCCTGACTAACCTGTGCAGACTTTAGGCTACAACAGTATACACATCTGTGTCTCTGGGGACCGTGGCATCCGCGCCGTGTTGAAGCAGCAACTCGACCACCCGCTCGTTGCCCACGCCGGCGGCGACCACCAGCGCAATGGCGCCGTCGCTGATCTGCAGGTTGACATCCGCGCCGTGTTGAAGCAGCAGCTCGACCACTCGCTCGTGGCCGGTCGTAGCGGCACCACCAGCGCGGTGTAGCCTTTGCCGTCCTGGACGTCGATCTCTGCGCCGCGCTGTAGCAGCATATCTCAACCACTCGCTTGTGGCCGTTGAGGGCGGAATACATCAGCGCGGTCTGGTCTTTGTTGTCCTGCACGTTGATCTCCGCACCGCGCCGAAGCAGCAACTCGACCACCCGCTCGTGGCCCTCCTGGGCAGCGAGCATCAGCGCGGTGACGCCGTTGCTCTTCTGCAGGTTGATCTCCGCGCCACGCTGAAGCAGCATGTCGACCACCCGCTCGTGGCCGTAGTAGGCGGCGCCCATCAGCGCGGTGCCGCCGATGCCGTCCTGCTTGTCGATCTCCGCGCCGTGCCGAATCAGCAATTCGACCACGCGCTCGTGGCCGCTGGCGGCGGCGCCCATCAGCGCGGTGAAGCCGTTGCTATCTTGCACGTTGACCTTCACGCCATGCCGCAGCAGCAACTCGACCACCCGCTCGTGGCCATTGTAGGCGGCGCTTGTCAGTGCGGTGCTGCCGCCGCTGTCCTGCTGGTCGATCTCCGCGCCGTGCTGCAGCAGCAAGGCAGCCACCCGCTCGTGGCCCTGGCTGGCGGCGTCCATCAGCAGGGTAACGCCGATTACTTCGCCATCCTCGCGCGCGGTGTTTGCTCGCCCGCCTCTCTCGAGCCACGAACGCACCGCCGCTTCGTCGCCTCGCAACACCGCGTCCACGTACGGCGCCTCTGGCTGTGGCTCGTTGGAAGACATAGGTACCGATCGTGCGTCCCAAAGTCGATCACACAACTCTCTCAACTCGCAAAAAACCATTCCCCGGACCCGGCAGAAGTTTTTTTCGGACGGCTCTGAGAGATTTTCACACATCATGTTCTTGTTTTGTCGGCTTCTGTCGAGGACAGACATACGTCCCAGCCATATAAATAAATAAACAAAGAGAAGAGAAGAGCCGAAACCCCAAACCCAAAAACATAGAAACCCAGGCGGCGACAAAAAATGTAGCCAAAAAGAATTTTACAACCAAATTCCCTCGCACGACTGGGCACGCCGGGACTGGCGCGCACTGGCACTAACACAGGTACAGGTACACAACGGGAGCCACCAAGCGACTCCCACGAGGGCGGCGAGGCACTTAGCTCCGTGCACCCGCCCACCCCCGCCACAGGCAAGCTCATTCACAATCTGCTCTGCAATTGCCGTGTGAAGAACGACCGAGATACGCTGCTTCTGCAGCCCCAGCCAATTCTTAGTGGTCCAAGTCACCTCATCGAGGTACTGGGCCCGCGTCAGCTTGTTCTGTAGCACGTCCGCCGCCTTCCAGAGGATCTCGCGGACCCCCTTCCCGAACCCGCCGAACGATTCGAACAACAGCAACTGCACTTCAACGTCCTTGTCTTCCCTGGCGTAGCGATAGTCCCCGCTGTAGGACGGTATGCGGCGGTCGCCGCCCACCACCCTGCCCCCCTGGTATGCCAGCGCCCGGTCCCTTGCCCTCTCTCGCCCATGCTCTTCCTCTCCCCCTCCATGCCGCCCCCCGGTACCCCTCCCCCTCCCCCCCCCCCTCCTCCTCTCCCCCCCCCTCTCCCTCCCCCCCCCTCCCCCCCTCCTCCTCGCAGTAGGGCCCATGCCCCATGGACCATGTTCCGGTAGAATGATTCGGTGTTGCCGAAAGCGATCAGTAACCAGCCTCCGGCGGGGCCCCCCGCTACAGTGTGGCTCAACACAAGTGACAAGATTTAGACATAATAATCTAATCTCGGCGCGATGTACTATACTCCGGTCGAGGGGTTGCTCGCACGCCGACCCACCCATGACGCCCAGATTCCTTGCGATATTCCCGAATTTTCGAGCAGTCGATGCTCGTTCTGGCTTCTGCACAGGGAGAAGAGGGATGCCAACGTCTGCGTGATGCGCGCGGCAAAGGTGGTCTTTGCAACAATTAATAGGCGCTATTAATATTACGCGATTATAAAGCCGTACTCGACGGCTAGTGCTAGTCCCCCATCGGGAGGACGACCCCGGCTAGTCGCCGACCACACCCACAAAGAACCCTGCACAAAGATCGCAAGGGCGGCGACCTGTTCCTTTTGTGTTTTTACCCATCTCACAGTAGAGAGCGTGTCCGTTTTTATTTATTTATTTATTTATTACTCGTGGTGTGCGGCAATCTCAAGCCATCAACTGAGCCCTGGCCTCGACACCTCGACACCAAACCTCGACACCGACTCGACACCTCGACAACCCATGCCAACTCGACAAACTCGACACCCCTCGACACCCCTCGACACCCCTCGACACCCCTCGACACCCCTCGACACCCCTCGACACCATCTAGGCTGAAACCATGCTCGTCCGTGTCAAGGTGCCAAACTCGACACCTCGACACCGCTCGACACCGCTCGACACCGCTCGACACCGCTCGACACCTCTGATGATCCTAACACAGCAGAGACGTAGACCCATTGGAGTCACAGAGTTAGAAATCAGGGTTGCAGCAGCAATCAAACTTGGCTGGCAGTACTTTCATCCCTGAGTTGCAGCCTCTCAAGTTCTAGCTCAAGTAGCAGCTCAGTTGCACCCCTGTTGATGCAGCAAACATGGCAGTACTCAGGTAGCCCTAAGGTGCTGCACAGCACCTTGTACAGTGGCAATGAATCCTCACACCAGTGAGCTTGTGCCATGAGTGCAGACCTGTGGTCCATTGCGCTTTGTGCACTGGCGACGCTGCAACGGCGACGCTGCAGCGGCGGCGACGCTGCTGCGATGGGGTACTGTAGCCCTTAGCTGCTGGACAGCACCTTGTGCAGTGGCAATGTCCACTGACTCATGGCACCAGCCTTGTGCCATGAGCGCTGTGGTCAGTTGCGCTTTGTGCGCCGGTGACGCTGCAGCAGCGACGCTGCTGCAGCAGCGACGCTGCTGCGGTGCTGCGCCTGCACAGCACCTTGGTGCACAGTGGCAATGACTCCCGGCACTTGATGTCCTCAAATGTCCACAGAGAGTATACTGGTTGTGCTCAGGTTGTGCTACATCAACAGGGTGCAACTGAGGCTGCAACTAAGGGATGAAACAGCTTTGCAACTGCTGCCCAACTTTTGTTGTATGTTGATGGGCTGCAACTGCATCCACCTGCCACCTTGGACACCTCGATACCTCAGACGCCTCTTGACAACACTCGACACCCGCTCGACACCCGCTCGACACCCTCGACACCCTCGACACCCTCGACACCCTCGACACCCCTCGACACCCCTCGACACTCCTCGACACGGACAAGCATGGTTTCAGCCTCGACAGGCCTCGACAGGCCTCGACAGGCCTCGACAGGCCTCGACAGGCCTCGACACCTCTATCCCTCGACAGCAGCTCGACACCCTCGACACCGGGCCTCGACACCTCGACACCAGGGCTCAGGCCATCAACGTGTCTGGCGGCATGTTGTGCGAGTATATGGGACAAAAGCGTCGAAAATGTCCCAAAAAGCGTTTCTCGAGTTTGTGGCAGCTCCGCAGCCAGCGCGGGCTGCCGGGACGCACCGCTCGCGCGTTCTGTGCACTCAGTGGGACCCAGGGAGTGCACAGATCCAACAGGAGTGAGTAGGCTCGACGCCGTACTCGAGATGGAGCTGCCACAAACTCGCCGCCGAGCGTGACACCGAAGGCGTCCCGGCGGAGGTGATGGAGTGTGAGACCTGAGGCTGCGGAGGTGACGCCTGAGGTACCGGCCCGTGCACAGCGACTCAGCCGGCGACCGCCACGGGCTCAGACGAGACTTGTCGACTCGTTCCAGCTCAGCTTCACCGTGGTCATCGGGCGTCTGTCGACGTCAGGACCACCCATACAGCTCGCGGGTTTGAGGTCGCAAGAGCCAAGATGGTGGCGTTTGGACATCCCAACCATCACACAAGACAGCCTGTAGGTGATGGCGGGACGGCGCAGTGTTTGTGGCACTCGGCAGTAGGCACCCGCGGCACGGCCCCGCTGTCGGCTCTCACGGGCTGCGGAACCGGCCCCAGAGGGAGCCGGTCCGGGCGAGTGTGGCAGCTCCTGCGCTAGTATGGGCACCCTCTATCATAGCACTACTGATCCTGGTCATTAGAGCTGCCAGGGATAGCGTCAGGAGCCGGTAGGAGTCAAAACCTCTCATATTTGAGACATCGTGTCCCATATACTCGCACAACGAGCCTCGAGCGGGCACGGTCTTCGGACTTCACGCGGTGTGTCTGTCGTGTGTCACTCTGTCCTTGCCGTTTCGTGTGAGCTGTGACCCTCTTCACAGACTTCACTTGTTCTCTGCATGGATTGTACTGGTTTCGTGCGCCCGGTTTCACAGAACCTTCTTCCTCTTGAGCGTCGTCACGAGCCCCCGTGCGATCTCGAGGTTGATGCCGAGGGCCTTTCGCAGCTCCTTGGCCAGCAACGAGCGCGCCCGCCCGCCGCCCGCCTCGAGCGAGCGCCCGGCAGCGCGCTGAGCGGCCACCCACGCCAGCCCGTTTGCGACGTGTTCCTGCGCCCCGGCACTGCGCGCCGACATCCGCCTGCCCTTGCAGATCTTATGCAGCCGCCGCGCGGGAGGCAGCGCCCGGACGGATTGCGCCGGAAGCCGAAGCGCCCCGGATCCCGGGAGGAGGTGCTTCGGCCGGGCGTGCAACGCTTCGACAGCGAGCCATGTCGCGGGCGACGCACCCTTGCTGCCGCCTAGCGCGTCCCAGACACGCACCAGCGCCGCCGTCTCCCCGGCCTCGGCGAGGGCG